CTCAGGAAAAGAGGCTGCCCTCTTGTTCCTGGATCACGTGTATCGACTACACGGGATGCCCGAGTCCATAGTATCGGACCGGGATCCGCGTTTTACGTCGGGTTTTTGGCGACATGTGTTTGAGCTGCTGGGTAGCAAGCTCCACATGTCAACCGCTGATCATCCCCAGACCGATGGCCAAACAGAACGGGCCAATCGAGTCGTGGCGGATGTGTTGCGTACAGTAGCGACTCCCAAATAATGGAGCAAGGAATTGCCATTCGTGGAGTTCGCTATTAATAACAGTGTTCACGCCAGTACGGGTGAAACACCGTTTTACATTAACGGACTGCGTCATCCTCGAACGCCAGTCTCGTTTGTACGCAGCCCGAGTCTTAGTGGGGGAGGGCCCCTCACTTCGCTCGGTGCGAATGCCAATGAGGGCCAAGGTTGCCCTAGTGACACTGCTAATTTAGCAGTGGTCACGACACCTATAGGTGTCACAGAGGAGGCACGGCAAGAAATGCCAGTGCTCCTTGATGATGACACTATAGTGTTGTCAACAGCGTCGACCCATGAACGACCTCTTGGAGGCGTCATAGGCGAGCTGGATGCTAAAAGCGTGAGCGAAGCTCAGCGCTTTGTGGATGAGCGATTAGCCATCACACGTAAAGTCCGTGACGCGATGGCAAGCGCACAGGACAAGCAAAAACAATATGCAGACCAGCATGGTCGCAAAAACAATGAACACTTTAGTGTGGGGGACAAAGTGCTATTAAGTACTTCTACCCTACCTAAACATGCAATTTCTGTACTACCTGGTGGTACTACTAAGCTATTGCCCCGGTTCATTGGGCCCTTTACAGTGGTTGAAGAAGTTGGAGACCTAAATTATAGGCTCACTCTCCCACCGTATATGAAGACGCACCCCGTATTTTACGTGGGTCGTCTGAAACGGTATGTTGATCCAGAAGAGATCACATATCCGCATCGGTCTAACGAGACCGATGGTGACGCCGACTGTGAGTCGAGCGTCGCGACCGATCAGGCGACGAGGAAGCCGAGAGGCTCCCCGTGTATGAACGAGGCGATAGAGGACTCGGTGATCGAGGAGGACTCCGCGCTTGACGCGGGTCTCTCATCACCAGTCGCTCTAAGATGTCCAAACGGGTCTTCAGGCGGTCATACCCCTGACGGTCTCTCGTCCTCACATCGCGCAGATCCAAAGTCAGTCGCGAGACTTGACTCTCGAGATCTGTCACCTGTCTCTTCAGCGCAGCAGATCTCAGCCTTGCGACTGAACAACAGCAGGGTAGGCAGCCGCGATTAGGTGGGCGTAATCGCCACTCCTATCGGGCGCCACCTGTGTTGGTGGACACGGAAGGGAATACGCGCTTCCTTGTTGGAAGGCTGTTGGCCCACCGGTTTGTGAAGCGAAAGCTCCAAATCCTTGTCCAGTGGAAGGGTTACCCAACGAGCTTTGACTCGTGGGAGCCTGTGGACGCTTTGCGCGTTGACGTGCCTGGGCTGGTGGCTGCTTATGTGAAGCAGCACCAGCTGTCTTCTTTCTGCTAGGTCCGGAAGGACTAGCAGAAGAAGCGTGGCGAGAATTAATTGGGGGTCGCTTACCGCCCATAATTTCATGCGCACGCTTCATGGCGAAGCTGATTCGCTGCGACCGCTGTTTCGTTGCATCTTCATGCAAGGTAACACGGCGCCGAATTTCAGCTTCATAGTCGTCGGCTGTTTCGTTAGAACGCAGCACGACTGGAATTGGGAAAGAACGACCAAGTGCTTTGCCCTGCTTTTTCCACAAAGGAAAGACGCTATAGAATCTATGAGCGTCTATAGTGGCACGCTGCAAAAGCGATGCGCTAGACCCATCTGAGTGCATCCACTCAGATGGAGGTGGCATTGGTGGCAAGCCACCACTCACGTAGCCGCCCTCGCGACGGCGGGCTAGTGAGGCCGAAGGTGTACTTGGTGGAGCTTTAAGCTCACACTCAGCTGAGTCTGACTCTCCATTATGGATTGTCAAAACGTCAGCTTGAGAAGTAACATCTGACTGAGTCGCGACTACTCCTTTCGAAGTAGCGTGCTCAGTCTTAGTCGCTGCGCTCGTAGGCGCAGACGACGAGGCGTTACCTTCGCTTGTAGGAAGCATAGATGCTTCCTCAAGGACGGGTGCCTCAAATGATGGGGACATATGTCCCATCAATGCACTATGCTCATCGCCACTTTGGGGTGATGGCAGTGGTGTGGTCTCATTGTAGTCAACAATGAGAGATGGATCTTCATCCACATTATCGTGAGATGGAAGATCCACCCCCAGTGCCTGACGCACTTTGCGACGGCTGCGATAAATCGCGGCGCGTGCGCTTAGTGCTGGACTGCATGGGTGCCTTTGCAGGCGACCCATCAGCCTTACCACGTTTCGGTGGCATGAGTACTGAGCAGACTAAAGCGGCGCGTTTATAAACGGCTCGCCAGTCTCTCTGTCTCTTAGGCGATGTTTTATAAAATGTAAACATCGTTCTAAAACGGGGGATGGTGTAACAGGGTACCTAGTTACACGTAAACATTAAGTAATATACTTAATGTTTGGTCTAAAAGTATCCATGATTACTTTTGACCAGTCACTTGGGTGCGACACACAAATGTGATCCACCCTCGTGAATGTGATATCCATTGATGGATTCACATGAGAAGGGATGACGCTAGTTGAAGCTAGGCATCGCGACGTCTCAGAAGGACGTCAGTTGCGATCTTAAATCTAGATTTAAGATCATGCGACAGGATACGCTTCTAAAGAGTCGCGTATCCGATCTATATATATATATATAGCCAATCAGTAGTTAAAACATATATTTAGTTATAATTAATTAAATATATCTCAGTCTTGAATTTACTTAAACAAGCACACCACGCACGAGAAGTTGAGAAACTTCTGCGTGACGTCGGTGTTGCAAGCGTTAAGAAGTTCGTTGCACTCTCGCTCAAGCGAGAGGCAACTGGTGGTACGACTGCTTAAGCAGTCGACCAACCTCCCAACCACCCTCGCACGCGAAGGTAAGACGGTCTAACCGCTTCCTCGCTTGTGCATAAGGTGTGTGCTCGTAGTACGAGGCAACTTCGTAGAAGTGCCCGTCTACATCGCCGGTGGTGCATTACCTACACGTTGCCTCCTGCGAATTCCATTGGGCTTATAATCCGTTAGCAAAATGTGTCGTTTTTCAGACACGACACTATATCAAGAGAAACTAATGTAACGACAGAGTGAGATTTTAGAATCTACAGAGCTCTAATCAGCTTTGCCGGTTTTAAGTCTGTTGCACGGGCAATAACCGGTACGCATACCGGTAATTTTCAACACGTAGCGCTACCCTTTTATGCGCAAGCCATAAAAGGTATCCGTGAAGAATCGCTGTCGTTCTTTATTGAGGAGAAGCGCCGTGTGCTAACAAATGTGAGACATCATTACGTTGTGTATTGGGGCAAACGAGCAAGAGCCAAGAGCTTCTATCTACAACCTTCCGAGCGTCGTTTAAACTAGATCTTACATTTGGTCGGCTTTAGAAGTCCTTGGAGATGGACTTGTATGCAATCTGCCTGCTTGAAAGTGCTAAAAGCATACACTTTTAGTGACAGCAATACGACCAAAACCCTTAAATGCGCCGCTAAGCTTAGTGTATTTGCAGTATCCTCTGCAGATTGTAGTTTGTTGCGCTTCTTTTCTGCTATTGAGGACCTGGATAATCTCAAGACCCAATAGACGCACAAAAGGCGGAACATGAACCAGTGTCGCCTTTAGCAATTGCTTCAAGTTCAGTTTCATGCTAATCAATTCGCCTGTAGGAAAGTTACATTATCCTGGTAATTACGTCTATAATGAAGGCCACCACGTCCCAAGATACACTCGTTAACGACGAGATCGCTAAGGAGCAGCTTGTGTTCCTGCAACCCTCCACGACAGCCGCGTACTAGAGTTTTGTCGCCTTAGTTGCCAGCAACTAAAGCGCCGAAACGGTGCACTATCATCACTATTATCCTTTCTTTGGTGATACAAGCGACTCGAGTTGCAAGGAAAGCCAGTGATAAGGGAATAACACGCTTTGTGTTCCCTATTATAGGGCAAAATTTCAATTTCATTAAGTTGTGGACCCTACACAATATTTTTTTATAAGCTAGTAGAGAGGACGTATAGCAACTCTGCTTCACGTATACAATCACCCGGTTATCCGGATGTGTATAGCGTACTAAACACAAAAGTACGGTTCGGGTACGTTAGAAATACAGCAAGCTTTATTCTGAATAAAAACTTTATAAGTCAAGTAGATAGACTGAGGTGGACTGTACAATGAGACAGTCCACTCCGCCCTTCTGATTTGTAGCCTGACAGAACCCATTGCACTGCACCAACTTTTCTAAGCAACTGTTGAGGGTAGCGTCTCACCATGTGTTTTCCAGCATATTAAACTGATATGAGGCCAGGCCGACCGCAGCTGTGAGTCGTCAACAACCTCTACGGAAGATACATTAGCTAACTTGGGTCGTTCTTATTTTGGACGCTTTATTTCACCATGGTTCCATCACTTCAGTACGCCACGTATACATGGCTTGTTTGTTCATATATCGTAGCGCAAATGACATTACAATAAATTTTAAATGATATTGCTCGTCTCGCTGTCACGCCGTGTTGTCGTATGTATTTCCAGTCCAAAAAAAATCGTCCAGCTACGAAGCGGCTTGCACCTTCCGTCGCATAAACGCTGACCTCACAATGCCACAGAAGAAGAAAAAAACCGTTTTTTAGCCGGCCTGTTTCTGCTCGTATACAAAAGAGTCTGAATATTTGAACGAAAAAAGACGGTCACCTTCTTTCTTTCGTCCCGAACACATACGCAAAAGAACGCAATACAAAAAGGGAAGTGTGGGTGTAGCCGGGACGGACCCATATTTTGCAGGTGGGCACTTTATACTTGCATATCACAACTTACCATTTCGAAAGACCATCGGTCATAATGGATATAGGCACTAATGTATGGGTCAAAACAAAAGACACCACTGTGTGGGCTGCCGGTGAAGTAGTCGACTATCAGAATGTCGCTGGTCTCGTGCATGTGCGTCGTTTAGACACTGGCGAAGTCTTAACACGTAAGTGTGTGAAACAGTTTTGTGTTTTTCACGCCCTGTCGCTTTAGACACGTTTTTTTCCTCTCTAATTGACCATGACTCTGTTTTTTTTTCAGGCCGTTATCCGGGTTTTGAAGATGAAGTATGTTTACGTAACATGTCAGCCAACTTCCCGACGATGTCAAGTCTCACGAACCTTGAACACCTGCATGAGGCGGCGCTATTGCAAGCACTTAGTGAGCGTTTTGCCCACGATGAGATTTACACGTCCATTGGGGACATTTTAGTCGCGCTAAACCCTTTAAAACCGCTGCCGAAACTCTATTCGGAAACTCTGTTGGACGCGTACAAGCAATTGATGACGTCATCTCCCCTGTTGCTCAATAAAGAAAAAGGGTTACCTCCTCATGTTTTTGCTATTGGTGGCAAAGCTTTTAGCGGGCTTTTGAAACCCGAACGACGTAATCAAAGTATCCTGGTCAGTGGGGAAAGTGGAAGTGGCAAAACCGAAAACACAAAATTTCTCATGCAATTTCTAACGAGTGTGGGACGGGGCACATCGGCCGATACAAGTGGTGCAGTAGAAATTGGTCGTCGGATCTTACAGACTAACCCTATTCTCGAGTCTTTTGGAAATGCACAGACTATCCGGAATGACAATTCCAGTCGTTTTGGCAAGTTTATAAAAATTCAGTTTGGAGACAAGAATGAGATTGTCGGTGCACAAATCGTGAGTTATTTACTGGAAAAGGTGCGGCTATTGCATCAGAATCCAGAAGAACGGAGCTTTCATATTTTCTATGAGCTGCTCGAAGGAGCAGACACGGAGCTACTGGATATTTTGGGGTTGAAAAAAGGTGGCAGATATGAGCTACTTAATTCATATGGACCTGATTTTGCTCGAAAAAGGGCTGTAACTCAAAAGTATGCGCAGCTTTATATGGAGACTGTACGTGCTTTTGAAGATACGGGGGTTGAAGAGCAGGAACGACTGGAGATTTTCAAGATTCTGGCCGGATTGTTACATCTTGGAAACGTCAATTTTACGGCAGTTGATGAGGAGGAAGATGCGACTGATGTGACTGCAGAATCACGCTTTCATTTGGAAAAAAGTGCACAACTTTTGGGCGTGAATGTGGACAAGCTGAAGACGCTATTGAGTCGTCGAGAAATCATGGCTGGAAGCGAGGTGATGGTGCTGAAGCTCAATCCGGAGCAGGCAAAAGAGATCTGCCGATCTTTAGCTAAGGCTTTCTATGGTCGACTTTTCACGTGGCTAGTTCGTCGTCTGAGCGATGAGATTAATTACGTTGACTCGGCCATTTCGATTTCGGAGGAGGACGAGGAGTTAGCGACCATCAGTATTCTTGATATCTTTGGGTTTGAAAGCTTGAACTGCAATGGATTCGAGCAGCTCTGCATTAATTATGCTAACGAGCGATTACAGGCGCAGTTTAATGAGTTTGTCTTTGTACGCGAGCAACAGGTGTACATTGCGGAAGAAATTGATTGGAGAAACATCTCGTACCCTAGCAACGCAGCGTGCTTGGCTCTGTTTGATGACAAGAGCAGCGGCTTGTTCTCATTGTTGGACCAGGAATGTCTGATGCCTAAGGGATCGAACCAGGCTTTGAGCACGAAGTTCTACCGGTACCATGGTGGGGATGGGTCCCCGGATTCTACAGGACTTCTTAGGCAGCCGCAACTTGCTCAGAGCACTCTGCCGCTGCTCATGTCGTCCTTCAGCAAGTATTTGAAGAAAGCGGGGTCCCACGAGGAACTTGTCCAGCAGGACACCAAGAAACACACTTTTTCGGCGTCCAAGATGGAACGTGTGAACCATCAGTTTGTGGTGCATCATTTTGCTGGACGCGTGTGTTACAATGTTGAACGGTTTGTCGAGAAGAACACTGACGCGCTTCCAGCTGATGCGAGCAGCATTTTGTCTACCTCTAGTAACGAAGTGGTTGTGGCGATCGGGGCTAATGACAACGTGGATTTGCCAAGTGCGGACAATGGAGTGGCAGGTCGACGGCGTTGTTCCATGTTGCGTGCGCCTAGTGTGTCTGCGCAGTTCAAAAGTCAACTGGACCGGCTCATCGTCCAGACCGGTCGCACGGAGGCGCATTACGTCCGCTGTTTGAAGCCCAATGAGCTCAAGAAGCCTGGAATATTTGATCGTGAGAGAATGGTTGAACAAATGCGCTCCGTTGGTGTGCTAGAGGCAGTTCGCATTGCGCGTCATGGGTACTCTGTGCGCCTCGCGCATGCGAGCTTTGTCGATCTTTTTTCAGAATTCAAGTGCTTTTTGAGCGCGCGAGATCGATCGACGAAGATGAACACTAGCGACTTGGCGCGAGCTCTTGTGGCTATATTAATGGGCAAGATTCTACTGGAAGACGGCGAGGGACGCGAAGAAAAAAAAACGGGTGTTCAAATTGTTGCTACTGATGACTGTAATGAGACGGCGTTCGATAACGATTGTCGCCACAAGGACGTGCAGGTCGGCAAGACACTAGTATTTTTCAAGGCTAGCACCTACAATCGGTTTTCTCGATACCGCTTGAAGTTACGGAATCAGTGTGCGACAGTGCTGCAGAAGCATTACCGCGGGTACCGACGTCGGGTGTTGTTTCAGGAGCTGCGTAGCTTTGTGGTGCACGTACAGGCGATTGTCCGAGGATTCCTCGGACGGAGGCGTGTGGACAGATTGCGCCAATTGCGTCGAGACAATGCAGCCACTTGTATTCAGTCATGTTGGAAGCGTTTCCTGGCACAGTGTGTCCTTGCAAAAATGCTGAAAGACAAACGTCAGCTTGTTAGTGTCATTTGCATTCAAATGCACTGCCGATGCTGGCTAGCTAGACGGAAACTTGCTAATCTTCGCAAACAAAAGATTTGGATTGCTGCTGCGATTCGTATTCAAGCTCAATGCAGACGCTGGATCGCCGAACACAAGCGTGATGAGTTGTTAAGGGTGAAGCGTGAAAATGCTGCTGCTAATGTCATCCAGAGTCAGAGCCACAGGTGGCTTGAGCAAAACAGTGATGTGATGGCAAAGGTTCATCGTTTCCGGTTGATGATGGCTTTCCACAAATTCCGCCGTGCGTGCCTTGCCTCACAGGCAACGAGCGAAGTGGAGGCTGAGCCATCCCCTAGTGATGACTCAGCGTCAAGCCCAGCGAAACGTCATGCAGTTATGTCATTCGACCACCCGGTGACTCTGTCAAGCTCAGAGCAGGAAGACAGCTCTACCAGCGATGAACAGATGGAGCCCCGGATTCGTATTTCCGCTCCCACCCACTGCTATACCAGCAGCAGACACCACAACCGTGCAAGTAGCGGTCATATTGACGACCAGAATTCGCTGCTTGAGAGTGAGATATTGCGCTTGCAGCAGATGCTCATGCAGCAGCAGAGCGGTCATGAGAATAGTCCTCCTCGGAATCATCGGCGCCGATCGTTGATTAATGCTCGCCCGCCGCGGAGCGTACCTCTCGACTTGAGTCATGAGCATTCGGTCCGAGCACCGCATCCGCGATCGGAACGTCGTCGGTCTTCAGTTGGTGGAGCACTATCCGAAGATAAGGATGAACTCGACGACGAGGTGTCACTTTTGCAGCCGCGCCGTGCCCGTAGTGTGGTGCCCGGGAAACAGGTCGACCACGTTTCCGTGTTGTTTCACAAGATCGAAGAGCTGGACGCGAAATGCAAGTTTCTGGAACAGCTCGTGGCTCGCAAGAACTACGAAGATGCGGCACGAGAGTCGTTTACATACGGTCAAGGCGGTAGTGAGCGTTTTCCGTCTGGAAGTGGGTCATCATTGTACGACGATATTTGTCCGAGTGAAACGGGCTCGGATGTGGACTCGATCATCTTTAACATCCAGAACCAGATGAACATGCTTCGACAGTCTATTGCTGTGAAGGAGCAAGACCTTCGCACGTCGCGCGCTTCTCGTGCCATGTCGTTCTCGTCCAGTACACGGCCGACGCGTTCTTCGTCTATCACCTCGACGATATCGTTTTCCAACTTCCCGATGGGTGAGGCCCCACGGAGCCTGTCGTCGCTTCCACTATCCGAGTCGCAGCTGTCGTCTGGCGGATCGTCGTACGGCAACAGTCGACGTAGTGGTGGAAGTTCGCTTGGGCGACCTTCAACACCGACTTCCTCAGTAGCATCGTCGTTCTACCAGGGGCCTCCACGTTCTGTACCCGCGCATTTTGGTGGTCGAAGCATGCCTCGCATCGTAAAATGGGCCCGCTCCACCAGTTGCTATGAGTGTGAGGAGTCATTCAACCTATTCGTGCGGCGTCATCACTGTCGTATGTGCGGTAATTCGTTCTGTCACGAGCACTCGAGCAGGCGCGTGTCTGTCTTCGGCATCGGCTTTGATGATGAGCCTGTACGCGTGTGTGACAACTGTTTTGCCGAATACTACGCGTCGCAGGAGTCACTTACGCCTCCGCATCTTCCGCCATACGGCTTCACCTCTGCATCCTCGCGGCTCAGTGGATTGTAGTCAATGACCCAGGAACCTCACATCTTTACAGTGTTTGATCTTTGTGAGATTCTAGTAAGTATAATGTAGTGTTTTGGTATTTCGAGTTGGTTTGAAATGGAAAGAGGTTTGATATACATAGCGTTAGCCATGAACGCTTGTTCTTCTCGAGTGTAGAGAAAAATAGAGAAATAGCTGACTCAGTGCCAGAGTAAGCTTGACGTGCACCATTCGGCAGTGAAAGTGGTGTGATGTGAGAAGCTCCTGCTCGAGCTCCGGCATGTAGTAGATCCAGTGCTTGTTGATCATGCAGGAGCTGTCAAATTCCATGGACGTGCCGCTGTTACACCATTTAGCACCAAAAGCGATTTTTCTTAATGGCGACGGTCGCTTACGAGCTTGAAATGCATTCGCAACGACATATCATTTGGCAGTGTTTTCTCAAATGACCGACTGCTAGGTGACAACAGCTTTTCATAACCAGCCCACCTTTCGGATGGCTAGACACCAATTAGCCATGACTTCCCGTTCGCTAAGCAGGCAAAGCCGAAACCCACGAAATATGCTTTTTAACTTGAAAATGTGCTCGCGCAAATGACGGAAGCATCGGAAATTACCAGTCAAGAGAGGTAGCCCCGTACGCTACACTTCCGCTGTTTTTTGTCGACGAATATGCTCCCTACGAAGCACGTCCGTCTGACTTGCGTACAGGATCATGGCATCATCAGTTCCGAAGTCGTATAAAACTTAACCACTAGCGCATTAATTAAGCAAGCGTTTCGGCTTGCGTAGTCATTCGAAGTCATCGAGCCTTAAGAGAAACAGCCTGTTTGCCGAGAAGCTACCAGCAGCATTCAAAAGCGACATCGGAGGATTATCAGCTACAGTGAACCGAACTAGCGATCCTGCATACCCCTCCAGTTCTTGCACATTTGTCCAAATACTGAAAGCAATATGAGAGAAAAAGCACAGCTTAGGCAACAAAATGTTGTCCAAAATGCAATGGTAGGTAGCGTAGCCATCCCATTCTTAGACGATTCAGCACTCGCGGTGTCCGAGCAATACACACGATGGATCCTCATATCTTATTGCTTTTTTGTCAGTGCCACGACAAAGTCACAATTGCCCCAAGTGAACAAGAGCAGTTCAACCCCATACCTTCGATCACACCGCTGTACACTCAAAGCTGCGATTACATGCATCTCCCTCGCCATGATCAGCATCATCTTCTGCAGCAGTATTATCGATCTCTTGGTTCGTCTCATTTTCATTCCACGGCAACTCTCGCCATTCTTGTCAGTCATAACTTCTTCTTTATCGTTCTTAGCTGTACCTCCCCACTGCACTTCTGTCACGTCACCCTCCTCTCCAGCCAAAATCTCGCTCACTTTTCCGACAGCTGACTGATACGTCCTCAGGAACGCCTGCATTCTCAATGATCTTCAATTATTGCTTGTCAGCGCCGGTTGCTTTGTCCAAAGTTCTGCCAGCAATGAAGACATGAGAAGAACCAACAAACTTTTTAACCAGCTCGTTCCAATGACAAAATTAAACCGGACGTAACGACCCATGTTGCAGCAAACGGAGCAGAACATAAGAGTAGATTGCAAAACTCTTGACAGCCCGCAATCTCTCAGTCACTCTCCAGCTAAAAGCGTTTTTCACAATATGGTTGCATTTGTTGCTTCTGCCATCTTGTCTTGTGTCTTCGATGCACATATCTGTTCTTTTCTGCAGCTCGAACACACAGTCGTCTACATCTACAGTCTGTCTGTTTTTGTACAAAGATCAGCCAGCATGGGAAGCCACGTATCATGTTGAAGCGTTCTGTGGAACGCCAACGCCAGTTTGAGCTGCTTTGGTCGCCGACTCCACGTTTGTTGTCTTGACTAAGACGGAAGAAGTGGTAGATGGTGGTACTACGTTTGATCCATCCTGTGATTTCTTTGCCTTTTTCGAAAAGCGCGGTGGAGCTTTGTCTTTTCGCATGCTCACCTTTCGTTTTCGTGGCGCTTGCTTCTTCGTGATGCCCATAGCACCCGCACCAGATGCGGCCAGAGATGAGGAAATACCAACCATCGCTTGATCTAAAGCCTTTGCAGCAGCAGTCTCTGCTGCTTCGGGAGTGAGTGTCCCATCTTCACTTTTGACCACGCTCTTTACTCCAACACCTGTTAGCATATTCACGTAAACATCCAACGGTTCTGCTGTCTTCGCATACGTCAGCGGGAGCTTCGAGTACTCATTCATCAACACCTTCAATCGAGATACCTGCTGCGTCTTAGTTCCACATCTCGTCATGCATTTGTGCGCTCGCGATACCCATGCGTCCACGCGACCGATCAAGCTGCGCAGCGGAGTCAGAACTTTCTTGTCCTCCCAGATTCCAAACTCCGTGGCATACGAGATGGCATCGCTAATCTCGCTTCGTGATGGCCGCTCCTGCAGCAAGGACACCACCACTTGACTCCATGACACCGCGCGTAGCAACCGTGCAAAAATGTCCACAGCTGGAAACAGTTTATCAATACTTATCAAAACTGTTCCGGTTGTAAGACTCGTAGCTGTATCGGATGGAGAGCTTATCATTGCATCGAGCGCGGCTGCGAACTCTCGTGGGAGAAATTTCTTGCAATCAACGTTGGCACGTGACAGCAACGATGTCGTATTAAGCAATGACACGGCTTGCTGAACCCAGGTTTGCGCATAAGGCAGCATATGGTGACGAGCATGGAATATATCTGAGAGCTCGCGAAGTGCTTGCTGAGCGTTCAACAGTCGCTCGCGACTTAAATGCAACGAGCTCTGAAGCTCTAGAACTTGCTTGCTAGCCTCGACATGCTCAGTCTTCATCTTTGCCAGTTGCTGCTCTACACCACCCGCAACTACAAGCGCTGCTAACCGTTCAGTGTTTCCCACCAATGTGGATGCCATCGGATTCAGCAATGCCGGAGTAGGAGTCTGCTGGACTAATGTTGAAGCGGGTGCAGCAGTGGCCGTAGTCACATTCGCAGCCGTAGTCACATTCACAGCCGCAGTCGTAATTACAGCAGTTGTTGTTTGCTGATGGGATGAGGCGGGAACACTAGCTGGGATTGTCACTGACGATCCTGTAGTCTTCACAGAGCTGTTTGGCAATTGCTTCGGATCTTTTACCCCATTTGCACTGGATGCACTGATCGAAGCACCCGCACTAATTGTTGCAGCCAATTTGTTAGCCGCGCTTAGCTTAGGCATGCTCTTCAGTCCATTGCTGACGGCGCGCATGGGCGGGATCAGAATACTAGGATACTGCTGGCGATTTAGCGCTGTTACATTTATGCCTGCAAGACTTGACGCCGCTACAGCACCTGTCGTAGCAGTACGATTGCTGCTAGCAGAAGTAGTAGATGCGGTAGAAGCCGCTGCCGCTGTCAGTAAAAGTGCATTTGCATTAACTACGACTGGTGAAGCCGACACACTGGTAGTCGTTTTTGAAGCAGACGCACTCATAATAACATGAGTTGCGTTTGATACGGGAGCTGCTGACGATTGCGCCGTAGCAGGGAGCTTGAGCTGCGGTGTTTGATTTGATGAAGTTTGAGCTCCGAAAGTACCATTTCCTGTGACAGGATTGATTGCCAAGCGGGCCTTTGCGCGCTCAATGTCGTCAAGCCGTGCCCAAAGCTGATTCATCTGGTTGTTGCAGCTAAATAACAGCATCTCAGTACGCTCGACGGTCTTCTCCTCACGCTTAACTTTTCGTAATGCACTAGCATGGTCTTTTTCGAAAGCCTTGGCATACTCATGCATGTCCCACAACTTGCTTCGCTGTCCCACTGACTTTGCTTCCTGCAGCATTGCTGCAAGCTCCTGCAAAATCGTGCACGAAGGACAAGTATAGTGCTCTACCTTCTCGGCTTTCTCCTTGGACATACCAATGCAGCTGTCATGAAACCAGTCATCGCAATGGTCGCACCCGATCATCAATCCATCAAAGGGCTGGCGACATATGCAGTAGCGCTCTGTGGCGGTTTTAAGAACATCTCGATGCATGTCAAGGTCAATTACAAGTCGAGCGCACTCGTACTCATTCAGCAAGGCAAGCAAATTTGCAACCCGAGCCTGGCCAGTTTCAATTCCAGACTCCAGCACACGGTTCTCCCAATCTCTCGCAATCTCCAGATGCTCTTTGAGGAAATCGAACACAGGCATGTCAATCGCAATATCTTCGCCTTCCTCTACAAGGGAACGCGCCGCAGTCATGCTCATTCGTCCGACTCCCTTTGTCATCAAAGCCCGCAAACGTTTCTTGAGCTTGGATAACCAGATCCTGGCTTTCATAGCTTCATCCATCACGATCTTGAAGGCGCCCTGCTCTAGCAGAAGTCCGCTTCCGTTATCAAGCAATGTCTGTAGTTCGCAAACCTGCGCATGCTTGTTCGCCACACATTTATGCACACGCTCGGTCCACTCGAGCACCACCGTTTCATGCGCTTTCAAGTATGGTAGTGGCCAAAGCATTTGCTGCAGAGTCTCCAGTGTTACTGAACTCATAATACCATGTGCCTCAAACTCCTTGAGGTTCTCAGCAATCTTGGTGCCCTTAATCGCAAGATCTTGCAGAGGAAGTATTTCATCGTAAAAAAGTGACCGAGACCCTTGCAACCACTCCAGCAACGATATGATTAGGCGAAGCGCCTGCTGCTCCGGAGCTTCTACGCTAAGGAGATCGCTTTCCATTTGTGTATGCAAAAGTTGTTGCTTCCATCCATCCAATGCTCGAACACATTCATCCGTAATGTTCTCTGTAATATCGCCTTTCTCTCCAGCCAGTACCAGCTTCTCGACTGTTTGCCGTGCTTCAGCTTCTTTCAGCTCCAAAGTATTGACTGCTTCAAAACTTTCCTCAGCCATTGTCAAGACTGGTTCTAAAAGGTCCCACCCATTTTTCAATATCCATGAAGTCTTTGAATCATCAGCAGAGTGGGTGTCGTCATCTTCATCCGTGGTAGCTGACTTTTGCATGCAACCACTTTCAATTCTAACATGCGTCATAATTGACTCGGCATGTATCTCTAGCACATGCATATTCGTATCAGCGATGATAGCCTTTGTGCCAGCCACCTTTGCTGCTTTATCACCACTTTCAACGCTACTCTTTTCGCCATTAGCAGCCTCTGACTTTCGATGCTCCTGTTTAATGTCCTGCACTAACGCCTGACTGTCGCCTAGGCCTTCTGCATCAATATCCATCGCGCAATCGTTGGTCTCGTCTTCCTTTGTATTAGCTTCCAGTGTGTCACTATGCTGCGCTAATGGTGCAACCTCGGTACTCTCGAAATTCGCTTGGTCTGCATCAGTAGCAGCCGTACCGCCAATACGAAGCTTCTTTTTCGCCTTTTGCAGCTTTCCATACACAAGTAGATCAAACGATCGAAGACGATCAACAATCTTTCCGATAGATGCACTTACTTCGCCATTGATAACTTCGTGTGCCTTCGCTCGCCACAAAGTCAAATCACTGAGTTCCTTGGACAGTATACGTATCTCGTCACGAAATAGAAAACGCAGCCTCTTGGATTCATGCAACAGCTCGTGCAGTTGTTCTGTTGAAAACGAATCATTGGCTAGACGCATTTTTCTCGATTGCCGCGGAGGAATACATTCACGAACGCGTGCCGCCCAACTCTTCTCGCCTTCGACGATGCTGGCGAGACTTAATCCCTCCTCAAAAGTAAATGGGAAGGCGTCAACTCGTTCAAGTAGAGATGATGCCTGCGCTAGATCCCCTAGCTCGCGAGGCATCGAGTCAATTTCCATGTCGTTCGTGTCGTCAGCTGTGTCAGAAGTGTTGGTTCGAGATAAGCACCCAATGCTCATCAAAATAGCGCTTGCCTCGGCCTGCGCTTCAACACCCTTCAGGAGCAAGTCATTCAGTGGTGTAGTGTATGAGGACACGTCAACCGCAAGGGCCTGTGACTTTTCAATTAGCTTGCTAATTGCATCCATAGGCTTCCTTTTTGCTCTATCAACATATATCGCCGACGAATGCACTGATGATCTCGATGACAGTGGAGATGGTGTGTATGATGACAACGAAGCAAATAACTTGTCAAAAGCCGTAATACCGAGATTATCTCGGAGCTCATTGATCCATTTGCGCGCTTGAAGCATTGCAGCGTGGATATCGCGTTCTATCTGTGGTTTCCAACGAGACTGTTTCTTGGGATAAATGCGTTCTCGTATGGTATTCGCTTGCGTAATCAGATCCTCCATTTCCTCTATAGACTCGCGAGAAGACAGCTTCAACGCGGCGGTTGTACACCATATCCGAGCAGCAATTTCAGCTTCTAAATACTTTTGTTCGTCCATAACTACAGGAATGTCTTTAGCCTCGTCCAAGATCTCATTCAGCTGATCGAGAGTGACATCAGCGCCACCATTTAGTGCATCCTTCACTTTAGCGGCCCACTCATCCGCACACTCAAGTAAATCTTGCATTTCAAACTTTTCGGTACTATGTTCACACGGCGCATCATCTACAAGCGCACGAATCGCTTCCAAATCCATTTTCTTTGTGTCTGCACCGCCTGCACGACGGGTTGCTCGACGATTAGGCATGCATTTGCGCGCCTTGGCTAGCCACGTCTGTGCGCTAAGCATTTTCGTTTGAAATTGCTCCACTTCCTGCTCAAAGTTTACGGGTATCAGCTCAATCTTCGCCAACACGTCACGCACAATGGGCAGGCCGACTTTGCCTTCCGCTAGCATATTGCCAATTGTAGACTTAAGCTCCTTGGCCTCGTCTACCGTTTCCCGAAAGCTGTCTTCTTCCGGAAAAACAAGCTGTGGCGCCATCACGGCTTCAAAAAGTTTATTCAGCTTTTTCAGCTCCACTTTTTTGCTCTGATGTCTTTTGCTACTACTAGTATGTTGCAGCGCCTCTTTTAGCTGCGAGAGTGCGGTATCAAACGCTTGTAACCTAGACACGATAGCTTCTTTTTCGGGCAATACTATCTGCATGTCTTCCGCTTGGTGCAGTAACTGCAACAGCCGCGCACGATCTACTTTCCTTTTCCTCACCACTTTACACGTTTCGTTCCAGTTTAGAATACGCGTCACAAGTCGTGCTAGGACCTCTGCTTCTATAGTTAATACAATATCAGCACTGGCTTTTGCTTTCTCGTGCAATTCACACATGTGCTCAAGCACTTTGTCATCAATTGTTGTTTGTCTCATGCAGCGATAGAATGCCAAGAGCCACTTTTTGACTTCTCCCGCTACTGTAGATTTGGTCGAATTACCTCCTGCAGTTGATCTAGGCAGCTCAATACTGTGTCTTGCATACAACGAGCACGCAGCGTCTGTTGTGTTATAATCAAAGCGATGCAGCAACTGCAAAGCCAATGTTGTCACTTGCTCTTGTGTATCAAATGTTGCTCCATCTCTCAGTGATCGTGCCAGTTTTAGATATTTGTCCAACTCGACTCCCAGTTCTGCACCCACCACAATAAAAAATGAAAAATGAAAATAATTATTTTATCAAATTAATTTCGTACAATAATTGCAATAATTTTTTTTCAATCCCTCACCTTGAGCTCGATCACAGCAATATCTTAGCCGTGGTAGCTGTAGAGACTGTGTATTATATAGTAGCTCTGTAGCGTCCACTGGGGACACCAGTAGCTCAGGGATAGTGGCCTGGTATCTCTTACCGACCCGTGAGTGGATCGGTACGAACTGCGGGGCGGCTGTATCATCTCCACAGCTTCCTGTGCTACTACTGACACTATTGCTACGCTCTCTAGGGCTGCATTTGCCCGCTATGTCGTCCGAGACGCCGCTGCGTTGACTCATGGAGAGGAAGAAGCTCGGGGACTCGACTCAAGTGCGCAAATGGCGTTAAACGATGTGATTGGTGGAAAAGAATATCACTTTTTTAATTTGTGATTTGTGATTTGATATCCAAGGACCAATTTTCAAGCGTTTTGTGACCACCACCACACATTTTTCAAAGAAGTCGATTGAGATGCTCGCCATGAAGCGCCTAAGTGCCGGAGCTCGTCCACAGCTGGTTGCACGTGCTGCGAGCCCATTTCTACTGCCAAGAGCGACGCGTCTTGTCCACAATTCACGTCCTCTTTTAATGCAGTCGTCTGACGACAGCGGAATTCCTCGTCTGCAGGACACGCCCGTTAATATTGTACGTCTATGTTGCAATTAATATTTTGTAGCATTTTGAATGGTTCTAATTTAATTACTGGATACTATCTATTACAGGGGATACTGATTGTACCACAGCAGCGTGCGTGGGTTGTTGAGCGCTTTGGCAAGTTCCACGACGTGTTGACACCTGGTCTGCACTTTCTTATCCCGTTGGTCGATCGTATCGCTTATGTGCATTCACTCAAGGAAGAAGCAATCAAAATCCCTGGTCAGACAGCCATTACTCGGGATAATGTGACCATCAGTATCGATGGTGTGCTCTACGTGAAAATTATTGACCCGTATAATGCCAGCTATGGAGTTGAAGACCCGCTTTATGCAGTCACGCAGCTGGCACAGACGACTATGCGCTCGGAGCTGGGAAAGATTACACTGGACAAGACCTTTGAGGAACGTGAGTCACTTAATTTGAGTATTGTGGAATCAATTAACCAGGCTTCAGAGGCGTGGGGGATCAAGTGTCTGAGATACGAGATTCGTGATATTGCCCCACCTCGCAGTGTCAAGGCTGCTATGGACATGCAGGCGGAGGCGGAACGTAGAAAACGTGCCGAGATTTTGGACTCGGAGGGTGAACGGCAGGCGTACATTAACGTGGCTGAGGGTAAGAAACGTGCTGCCGTGTTGGAGGCAGAAGGTGCGGCGGCAGCTATTTTGGCAAAGGCGAACGCGTCAGCTTCAGCTATCCAGCGTCTTTCGAGCTCTATTCAGGCAACAGGTGGCCGCGATGCTGTCGCACTCCAAGTGGCGGAGAAGTATGTGGATGCGTTTGGTAACATTGCCAAGGAGAGCACGACTTTGCTATTGCCGTCCAATACCAATGATCCTTCTAGTATGGTGGCGTCAGCACTCGCTATTTTTGGAAACATCCAGAAACAAAACAAGAAGGAAGCTACTCGTACCACTGACAAGCTGAGTAAGCAGGAGGCTGGCAAAGGACATGACGACTACACTTTGGACAACCAAGACTCAGACACGACCAAGGATTAACCTGGCAGCATCTACAGTAGATGGGGGTCATGAGCTGGCACGAAGCAGACACTATGTATAACGTGCTGGTTGGTCACATAGCTGACGTTAACGAGGGAACAGTAATACAACAGTTTGATGGGTTTGTACCGCGAAGAAAATAAAGCAGAACTTACGAGAATCGAATGCATTTGCTGAGATATCATAGCCCAAAGCTTTCATAGTGGTATAGTATTGGCAAATTGATACACGAGGATGAGTAAGCTATTTGCAACGCTGGACTACTATTATTTTCGTCTCATATATCATAGTGATACTACTATGTTGAGTAGAATCGTGCTAATTCCAGTGACTTGACAAATTTGTGAATCAAGTGATACTTTATTTTTTTCTAAATTAATTTGAAACAGCTACAATTGTAAAACTAGAAATAATTCAATCATTATCATTAGTAGGTTTTACCACAATTAAATCGTTCAAACCAATTAGTTGTTTGTTTTTACGCTAATAGGAGATGGAGACTCGAGATAGCGGTGTCCCGAGGGCATCTCTAGCGGGTTTCGTGTCCACATCCGTGTTGACATCTTCTGATGGCGTGCGTTATTGAGTTATGCTTCTAGCGCTACTATCTATTTTGATTTTCTCAATGTATGCTCTTTACCACAATTTGTATCTGTAGCTCTTCGGTGACAACGTGGAAGAGAAGCGTGTGACAGAAGCTCCAGTCCCACGAGCAGAGGACGCTACAGGCTATCAACCACTGTATGATCAACTTCAAGAGCGTCGAGAAAAAAAGGACAGTGAGTGGAAAGAGAAGAATAATCCTTTTGGTGCGTGGTTTGATGTCCATGTGGGTGAATATCAAATGTCACTACTGAATCGATGAGGTGCTGGTCTTTGATTGATATAACTCTGTGTAGCGCCACCCAAGGGACTAGATGATGAAGAGTTTGAGTACATAAAGGATCTAGAGAGCAGGAAGGAGGACGTTGAGCGAAAACGCCACGCACAGCATGAGGAAGACCTCGCCCAATTCCGTACGGACTTCAAAGCTGTTCTATGTGGTAGTGTGGTTTTAGTAGCGACGTTTAGTAATAGTGTTGTCTTTGTAGTGGTGGCACGCGGTGCACCTAAAGCTTCCGCTCAAGCAGTACTTACAGCGCAGCATTTGCAGAAATATCCAGTCAACGGTGAAGTGAAGCTGACAAGTAAGAAGAAAACTGCGGCGGTGGTGGTCAAGTCCAAGCGAGAAGCTAAAAGAGCGTTGCGCAAACACGACCATGATGCTATAAAATTGTCGGATGAGTTGATGGATCAACCTCTAAAGAAAAAGCCAAAGGTCGAGAATCCGTGCAAGTCGGCGGTGCCAACAATGAAGAAGTCGAATGCAGCAGCGCTTGGACTTGCGTCATATGGCAGCGATAGTGATAGCCAAAGCGACGAGGCTGCAGCGAACTAGTGATTGATAGACAAAGAGTAGACTTCATCGGGTACCATCTATTTTCTATTACTTCGAAGTACTCTTGTGTATATATATATGCACGTGTAAGTAAGACAGTATCATCGGAAAAGAGGAGGAGGGTTCGCACCTAGTCGTGATAACTTGGGCCGAAGAAGACGCGGCACTGAAGCTCCAGCGCCGTTGGGTCTGCGGAGTGGAGGAGATGCTTCTACTAAAACCCTCCTGGTGTTCCGTGCACCCAATCGCTTCGGTCTATCTGGAGTACGCATGACTACTGATGAAGTGCTTGCCTTTCGGCGCATTGCAGGCTGCGGTCCAGGGATCGATGGTGACGGAATTCTCGCTGGAGCTGATCGTCCGACTTGTGTGGCAGTGCTTGGTGACGTGGAAATTGTAGTTTGGCGTCCAGCAAAGTGGGAACGCTCAGACATTATTCCGTGAAGACGAGGTGCTGTAGGTGTCGTTGCAGCAGCGCGACGCAGCAAATCAGTCCCATTAGATAACCTAGTGGATAGAGCTCTCGTCGCACCTAGAGCCTTGATTGATTTCGCACCCGCTGGTACGTCAAGCCGTGTGTCTCGACTGCTTATACAGCTGCTGCTCATGTTAGTGTTACTGCATTTATTTGCGCTGCTGCTGTGGCTTTTAGATACCCGTCTTGACTTTCGAGAATGCGACAGAAGTTGCTTCTGCTGAGGCAGTTCGACTTCTTTAAACATCGCACTTGCATCAGGACGAGCGCGTTTAGCCGGCCGTTCCTGGCGTAATGCAGACAAAATGCTCCTGTCACCGATACCAGCCGAGGTTGACAACTCCGGAAGAGGCTGCAGAGGCTGCAATAGCTTCACTACGGGCTGCACACCATATTAAAAACAACGTCCATCATCGAAACAAAGCCCTGAAAACTGCTTACCGTAGGCAACATAGATGTTATAGACCCCTGCTCAGCCTTGCTATCTTCTTCTTCCAGCTCATAAACTCTCAGCAAATACTGCATTAGTCCTGGCAGCAGCATCCCCAGTCTCACACTTAATTTCTGCTGCAGGAATTCTTGGAACGGCGACCGTTCGTCCACATCTTCATCCGCCAGCGACGGCGGATTGGCTGCATCCAGTAACAGCGCCACACGATCCAGCAGTCGACGAATTTCTTTCTTCAACTGCTTTTTCTCCTCTTTCTTCTTACTTGTTAACGTTCCAAAGCACAGCATACGGAACACGAGCTGCAGCTGCAGCACTCGCACGTTGGCCGAACGTGGCGTCTCTTTGCTGCTCGTTAGCTCCGGCAGCTTCACCAATAGCTCGTTTCCCACTGCAGCCAGTCTTTTCTTCAACATCATTAGCTGTTTCTTATCGTCTTCAGTCAATGCGTTGACCTTCTGACCTTCACTCTGCTTACCTCGATGATAGGTGAACTTTGTCCACCACTCACCACCTTCCTGCATCAATAACAGGTCCAGAAATGCTACTATTCTATCAACTGGTGTCTTATTCATCTGCTTCGACGCAGAAGAAGCCGTAGACGTGCTTCCTTCTTCCTCCAGTGCCACTGCCTTCCCATACTCCTCTTTCCAATCTATCACCATAATGGTAAATTCAAAACTGTCCGGTGGAAAAGAGTCTTAATATTCTTAACAAGAGATCGTTTATTCTACAATAGAGATAAAGATTGCAATTTTTTGGCGCGTACGAAGTGACATTCACTCTTTACGTTTCCCGCGCTACGACTTGACATTCATTCTTGACTTTTTTTACCGCATTCATAACGACATGAATGACCGTGAAGACGACGTCTCGATCTCAGAGACGCTAAAGGAAGTACAAGCTGAAGTGGCGCTGCAAATCCACAATGACAAGCATCTAAAGCACGTGGGCGTCGCTGTACGACGTCCTCGAACACGTGCGTCGTGCGTCAAGGGCCAAGTAGATGAAGATACGAAACAATGGGAGCTACTGCTCTTTTCCTTCTCGGATTCAAGCGAACTGACGAACCTCGAGTCACTTCTGGTCCAGCTCACACCTTCCACGTGCTTTCTCTTGGCAGATCTGGAGCGAACGCAGAGCACGGGCGACAGCAAGAAGCTGCACGTGCTGTTGCAGACCCACGAGGTGGCTCGAGTTTACATGAAGAAGCAGCTGTTTAACGACGTCAGTAGCGTGGAAACAAACGTTGCGAGACTGCTAGGAACTCATATGATGACCGAGTATCAGGACATTCTCGCTTCCAAAGTGGTTGCGGGATCTCTGGCCTGTTTACTAGAAGCACTTGGCGTTATGACAGACACTGACGCCTTTGGCTGCTACACACTGAGAGAAGGAAATCTCTCATCTGCTATGCAGTTGGATAGTGCTGCTGTCTGGTCGTTGAATCTGCTACCAGAGCAGAGTTCCACTACGGGAGCAGTGAGGTTTGGAGGCAGTGTTTTGGAGATACTCAATCGAGGAAAGACAATTATGGGTCGACGACTGCTGGAACGCTGGATTCGACAGCCATTACTGGATGTCAAGCATATTCAGACACGACAGAGTCTCGTGCAGTTGTTTGTAGACGACTCATCGTTGAGAATGGAGCTGCTGGACGAGTGTATGAAGGCTCTACCTGACTTGGGTCGACTGGCCATCAGTCTGGAAAAGAAAAAGCATGCAAAGATTGCAGATCTTGTGAGTGTCTATGATGCTGCTGTTGGTACCATGCCACGCATTTGGAACCTCTTGAAAAACACGGATGCTGGTGGGGATAAAATACTAGCAAATCTTGTCAAGGAAAAGTTTGCTAGTCCATTCGAAAAGATGTTGGCTGACTTGCAAGGCTACACGGAGCTCGTGAAGGAGGTTGTTGACCTGGACAGCCGTCCAACTCTTGTGGTGAATGCGAAGCATGACAAGAATCTCCAGATGCTGCGTGAAGAGTGGGACGGCATCCTAGCGGACATTGAGGAAGAACACCAAGATGCACTCGACAGGATCGGTGGCGACATCAAGTGCGAACAGGACAAAGTGCGCAGTTTTGTTTTTCGTGTTATAAACAAGAAAGAAGAAGCTCGTTTGTCTAGGCTACCAAATGTTCACATTTGCCAGGTACTCGTGAGCGGAGTACAATTCACGACAACGAAGCTGAAAGAGCTAGCCACGGATTACCGCCGTGTACGCGGTGAATACGACGAACGACAGGCTCATTTGCTGAACGCAGCGATTGACGTGGCCAGTACCTATGTGCCTGTGCTCGAAGCGGCAACTGCGACACTGGCAGAGTTAGATGTGCTGCTTGGATTTGCGCATGCTGCATGCCACGCTGGATCCGGATATTGTCGGCCCACGCTAGAACCAAACGGTGACTGTATCGTGCTGACTGGCGCGCGTCACCCTTGCGTGGAACTGCAAGACGACGTGGACTTTATTCCAAACGATTACAACTTTGAGCGTGAGAACTCGCGCTTTCAGCTCGTAACGGGGCCGAACATGGGCGGTAAAAGTACCTACATTCGCCAACTGGGTGCCATTGCAGTGATGGCACAAATCGGTAGCTTCGTACCAGCCAAAGTCGCTCGATTGCCCGTGTTCGACAAGCTGCTGGTTCGTGTTGGCGCAGGTGACCTGCAACAGCGCGGCGTGTCTACGTTTATGCTTGAAATGCTGGAAGCATCTGCCATTTTGCACAAAGCCACGGAACGCTCGCTTGTGATTATTGATGAACTGGGTCGAGGTACTTCCACATACGATGGCTTTGGATTAGCCTGGGCCATCTCCGAGTACCTCCTTACCAAGGCGCGCTCAATGTGCCTCTTTGCAACGCACTTCCACGAGTTGACAGCCCTAAAGCAGGAGCACCCTCACGGCTTCGCAAACAAGCACGTCACGGCAGTGGCCAGCGACAGAGAAATCACCATGATATACCAGGTGCGTGATGGTCCATGCATGGAGAGTTTTGGCGTCCATGTTGCATCCATGGCAGGCTTCCCTGACTCGGTAATTCAGTGCGCTCGGCGAAAGAGCCAGGAGCTCGAAGGATTTGAGCGTGCCGTGGGCAGCCCATCTGCTAAGAGGTCAGCAACAGACGCGTCACTTCCGCAAGACAGGAAATCTCCTTTGAAGAAAATTGCAATGGACAAGAAATTCCTGTCCGCATTTGCAGCTCTTCCTCTCGACAAATTGACACCTACAGAAGCTCTTAATGCCGTTCGCACGCTTGTCCCCCAATAAGAATAAGACGGTACGACATGTCGAAATAGACAGCCGTCATTTGATTGGTCCAAAAACATTTTTTTCTATCCAGAACCACCAACCATTTCATTGGCTGGAGACCAGGAGCTCACTATCAAACACGCCGCAGTCAATCGCGTTGAACCATGGAGCTTCCGCCGGCCAAGAAGCGGCGCCACCGCTTTCAGAGGGTCGAGGAACGCGTGAACAACCTGCAGAATGAACTTACGCTGCATGCGAAGACGACAGGCGCTGTAGACGTGACGTCACAGCTCTCGTTCAAGGAAGAGCTGGCGCTGCAGGCGGAGCTCACGACACTTGACAGTTTTCAGCTCCTTTTTCGCTCGCTGCAGCCGCTAGTGACCACCACTCCGCATCTGCTCCACCACCTGAAGCAGGTGATGAAGCGACTGCAGAAGGAGCTGCTGGAGGCGCGCGACGGCAGTGCAGACCTCGTCGTGCAGCGTCAGAGACTCGTGCCAGTGCTGAAACTGGTGACGGCGCTGGCTCGAGAGCTCGGCAAGGAGTTCTATCCGCATTTTGCCGGCGTCCTGCCACTTGTGGTGGCTGTGATTGACACCAAAGACCCGGAGCTTAGTACTCATGTGTTTAAGACACTAACGATGTTGTTTAGCTACCTGCGCGTACAGCTGCTTGCTGATATGGACGCAGTACACAAATGCTACTTCCCGCTACTTGGACACCCAAGAGAGTTTGTCCGTAATTTTGCAGCTCAGACATTAGCGGTGCTACTGAGACGACTGGAGTCACCTAAAGCCATGAGGAAATACTTGCGAGCGTACTTGACAGCATTGGTGAAGGGTTCTGGACGTAGCAATAAGGTTTTGAGAGATGGATCGGCCAAATTGTTCTTTGAACTCGTAAAGAACGTGAGCCATGGATTCCACTCGCGCATGCGCGAGGTGCTATTGTTCTTGCTCGGCTCGTTCCGACCTAAAGATTCTGAGACGGAAACGACAGAGGAGCAGCTCGAACAGCAGGAAGCTATTTTTGAGATTGTGTACCAGACGTGTGGCTTTATGATGAAACACACGGATTCTGACCATTCGGGTGAAATGCTGGAGTGTCTTGTCTTAGTGGTGAACAAAGTGGTGAACCTTCGACACGAGAACGATGAGGGTCCGACTGAAGCAGATGACTTGTACTTAAGTCGTGTGCTTCGTGTGCTGCTCGGGTTTTTAATTTCGCGAAGGGGTAAGCTGATTACAGAGGCAAACGATGCGTATGACGTGCGAGTGCGTAGTGTGCACAGGATTTGTGCTGCTCTGGTGTCTTCTGACAACAAGGTGCTTGTCTCTCGAAACACAGTACTGCGAGATGTACTTCTGCAGACGTTTGAAGTGGTTTGGCGGCTGTTTCCTGCTGAAGACGACGAAATTTCCGCGCAGGTGAAGGCCATTTTTGCTGTGGCAGTGAAGGAGGATAAACAGATGTTTTGGTACCAGAAGCTACTGGCGTTTATAAGTCAGGCTCTGCACAGTAGCCACATCGATCTGGGTTTCGTTATCCGATTTCTACTCCCCAACGCAATAGAGTTTGCATTCAAAACTTTGGTGACAAATGACGTGGGTGCATTCAGCGAGTTGTTGTGTCAACTTGGAGACTATGTGGCGGACAATGCAGGTGAAATCAATGAGGGTCAGAGCGTGAATATTGTGCGCTCGAAAAACAGTAGTCGATTTTGGCTACTTTCGCTCGAAAATATCGATAACAATGCCGAGAAGTCACTTTTTGATGCTGGTCGGAAGCTCTTTGAGCAGAATGGCAGAGAAAAGGGCAGCGGTTGTTTGGGTGTGAGCTGGAAATTTTGCAAAGCGTTAGGGGTTTTGCAGCTAGATGATGCTAAACTGATTAGTTTCGTGACGCCCATTATCACGAAACTTGATGAGCGACTGAAGGATGAACCTGCTGTGTCGGCCACCAAACTTGCCGTCCTCTGTGCTGAGTTGTGGCAACTACAGCAAATCGCTCAGCGCCAGATCAACGGCAAAGATTCGACAACAGTGACAAAGGATATGGTACAGGCACTACTTAGAAATAAGCCTACTTTCCAAAGCCTAACGACGTTGTTGATGCTGATTGAGATGGAAACCGAAGAAAAACAACATACAGTTCTGACAAGCGATTTGCTGCCCAGTGTGGCATACCCTCTTTTTTCAACGCTGCGATCACCCGCGCACGAGCTGCGTTTGGTGACGCTGCAGCTGGTAGCTCGATTCAAGCGCCTGAACTTTTATGATTCTGACAGCGATGCACTAAGCGGGCCATGCGATCTTCCAGATATCTGCGTAAACCTCGAGCTCTCATGCAAAGACATTTCTGTGGCCACAGAACGCGAGGTGGTACGCCTGCTTACACGAGTAAAAGCTCTTTGCCGCTCATCTCAGACCCCTGAACTGTACAAGAAAATTGCATTGAATCAATTGTTGGGGCTATACCACGTCAAGTTCTCTACGATTTGGCCGCACATTGCCGACGCAGTGGAGGCTATTGTGCGGCTGCGCTTTAACGAGTGTTGGCCATGCATCAGTGCGGACCTTTTGGTGGCTTCGCTCCGGCATGAAGACACGAGTGACAAACAGAGTAGCGATCCGAGTAACCAAAGTGCTGTCGCGGAAGAGTTCGAGCGTGCGTGTATGCTGGAGCAGGGTAAAGCACCTGTATCAAGTGTTACAGATGCTTCCACTCACCATTCGCTACTCTGGAAGGGGCTTATGAAATTTGCTGACCTCGTGGAAGCTAAGACAAAATTCATGGTACCGCTCTTCCTCACATTTTTGCGTGATCAATACAGCGCCATTTACGTGGATGAGCTAGATGACAAACGTCTTGAAGAAATAGACCAGGCTCTTGCTAAGCTTGAAGAAGCCAACGGCTACGGCTCCAGTGACTCTACCTCTCCCCAGTGGCGAGTGCCAGTCGAGTTCCAGGGCTTGACCACTAAGGAAGTGCGGGGTAAATTTTTGGATCAGCTAAAGCTTTTTGCGGCATTCCACAACATGAAGGGTGCGTATATGCAGCAGTTGCTACATGCTATCTTTTTTGACCTGTTGATGAAATCGGACGAGGTGGTCTCAAAGCTAGCCTTGCAGTGTATCTATGCATTTGGAAACAAAGCTATCGTGTCCTATAAAACGCAGCTGAACCGATTGCTCGACTCGTCTTCATTCCGCGAAGAACTCTCCAGCTTTAAGGTTGGAAATGGAGAAGGTGTAGTGGTCCGAGAACACCGCTCGGAGTTGCTCCCTGTGCTGCTGCGAGTTCTGTACTCAAAGTGCGTTAGTAAGAAAGGCCGTAACAACGGTGACACCGTGGGCGCTCGTCGTGCTGCCATTCTAGCGTACTTGGCAGCGCTGGAAGCACCTGAGCTAGCAAGCTTTGTGGATCTGGTGGTGAGAGCATTTAATGTGACGATTGAAGTTCCTGAAAGCAATGTTCCGGAAGCTCTTGTCATTGCTGATACGGTGCAGCCTGTGGTAGCAGTCGCCAAAGTACAGCCTTCGCGTATCTTGGGCTTCTTGAATCTGCTGGAGGATCTTATGAACCAGCTCGGTGTGAAGTTGGCTGCTTTCATACCCCGTATTGCTGATGTGCTGCTGGCCATCCTTCAGATCAGCGTTGTTTCCGGTGAAGATGATAACTGGTTGGCTGTAGTCGATGAGAACGATAAAGAAAAAGCCGTACGTGCGGTCGGCTTGAAACGCAAACAAGACGCGACGCCACCGACCGCTAATACGCTCGTGACATCTGCTTCGATGAAAAAGCAAATTCGCATGTTAACTTACCGACGACTCTCGGAGTTGATCGATACGGTACGAAACGCGGTTTCGTCACATTCATTGATCTATGTCGATTCAAACACTAACTATAGTTTTTTTGTTGTCATCACAGTTTGATACGCTGGTAAAACTAGAACCGTGGGTAGTTGCGGTGCTAAAGACGTCATGTGATTCGATCACGCACCTGCCGAATGCGGTTGTCGGTGCCGAGAAGGCATCGGCGCTTTTGAATTTACTTGTGGCGTTGGGTCGCGCAGACAGGTCTCGTCGGTGTATTTCGAAGCCCCTGATGCTTCCCGTTATCTCCTGTATGTCAGCCGGTTTGACGTCAGGGAGCGCATCGTCTGCATTGACTCGTGGTATTTCGCCTGAAATTCTGGATTCAATTTTGCAGTTTATGAACTCGTTGCTTGATGGAGACGAGCGTTTGCTTGAGCATGGCCAAGGCGTAAATATGACTGCCTCTAACACGGATGAGAAGGTTCTGTTGGTACCTCATATCCCTTTTGTGCTAGAGCAGTTTGTGCGCCGTTTTCAGGCCAAGGCCGCACGCTATGCGAGCGACCGATACGCAGGTTCATCACGCAAGGAACTTGCATTCCTTTGCCGTCTCTCTCGCCATTTGGATGCCTCCAAGGGAGACGTTGCGATTGCTGCACATGACTTGTTCCAGTTGTTGTTGCCGTTTTTGCTGCGCAACCATCAGACGTCGCCGAAGGACAAAGAGAACTTGCTCGAAGTGTTGGCGAGCTTGGTTGCCAAGCTTTCAGAGCCTAAAAAGCATGTGCTCGCCATAGCGCGGCTGTTAGCCCCGGGTCCGAACTGCATCGCTGATCGTGATCCACGCTTGAAACTTGTGCTGGTGTTTACAGCCCTAGGTGCACATCCTGCGCTTAAGGAGGTGGCTCCCGTGGCAGAATTGCTTGCTGAGCTCAATGCATATGACCCCAAGCGCATTGAGGAGACCGACTATGAGCGTCGCCTCGTTGCGCTTAACCATTTGAGCTCGACGCGTTTTGCCGGGTTTAGCCTCGATACACACACGCTAGCCCCCCTTGTGGCGCAATGTCTCCAGTGTATGCATGACGCTGAATTTTCGGTGCGTAGCGGTGCCCTTGCCGCGCTTACGACGTTCCTGCAACTAGCTGCCGAGGTCGCAGTAGGACGAACGGAGAGAGCAGACGTTGCGAAGTCGCCTGTGCTTCATGCGATGGAGGTACTTGTGATGCCTTGTGTGCGGGCAAGCCTGCGCTCAACAGATGAGAATGTGCGTCGTGGATTCGTGACGTTACTGGGATCACTGGCAGACCAACACAAGGCGTTTATGCTGTACGCATTTGTTCCGGCCGACTTGGTACTGGCGCGCAACCAGGAGGATCCTGAGGCTGATTTTTTCTACAATATTACGCACATTCAGGCTCATCGCAGACGCCGCGCACTTCAGCGGCTCAGCACGCTGATGGACTCCATGGCGACGAAGGCAAATAATCAAGTCAGTAGCGAAGCGAGTGAGAGACCGCAGTGGTTTTCAAACTCAACGGTGAATAGTATCATATTACCGCTTGTATTGCACTTTGTCTACGAAACTCACGCGAAGAGTCAGGAGTCTCTGCGCGCTGAGGCCGCAGCATGTGTGGGATGTGCTGCCGGACTTTTGGGCTGGTCGCACTACCTTTCGTTGTTGCGTAGACTGCTGAAGTCGATCGATGGGCACGTTGAAATGGAAGGTGCTATCATTATGTCAATTTGCGCCGTAATTGATCATTTCCACTTTGAGACGCCAGGTGCTGCTGCTCAATGGCAAAAAGCGTCATCCGTGTCAATCAACAAGGAACAAGCCGATACTAAACCGGCCGGTAGTGGTGACAAGGGCATACAAAAAGAGAGTTCTTCTAAGGTCCAGGGAAGCATGGAAACGCAAGTACTTCCGATGCTTTACTCGTACTTGTTCAAGAAAGCGACTTCAAAGAAGAGTTCAAAGGCGAGGGACAACGATGGAGAGTCAACCTCGCTTTCGCAGGAAGCAGTGTCGGTGCGTGTGCCTTTAGCCCTAGCAGTTGTAAAGGTGCTGCGTCGACTGCGCGCTGAAACATTCCAGCGGGAGTTGCCCAAGTTGCTGCTAAAGTTTGCGAATTTACTAAAGAGTAAGGATGAGGCCGTGCGTGTTTCGGCTCGCACTACGCTCGTTCGGATTGCTGTGGAACTTGGTGCGAGCTTTTTGCTTCCAATTGTAGAAGAGCTTCGCCACACTCTGCGCGACGGATACATGGTTCACGTGCTGTCCTTTACCGTGCATGCGCTATTGGAGAAGCTACCAGAGATCATGCAGGTGGACGGACAGTCTGGAGTTCTTCGCAAGCCGCAGTCGTTGTTGCTCACACAAAATAAGGAACAAGAAGCCGAGCGTGAGACTGCATTTGCCTCACCACTAGATGGTTGCGTACCGATCGTGATGGAGATTCTAGCTGCAGAACTGTTTCAGGGCATGACGACTATCGGTGAGGCAGCAGAGGCAGCCGCTGGAGGCGTGGAACGTAAGTCCGTCCAGAAGTCCAAGATGAAAGAGGCACGCTCGAGCGATGGACGGAGTCTGGACTCACTGGAGTTGCTGACAAGGTCGTTACCCTTCCTGCCCAATCCGAGCATCCACGAAGTTGTGAGTGCGCTTGTGAAGCGCTTTCAGGCCACAGATGCTGGTGCTCAAGCTACTGCTGCGCTTCAAGAGGCATTAAAACGCGTGGCGATTGGACTTGCAAAAAATCCGTCCGTGGAGTCGTCGTATATGCTCCTGTACGCATACAACGTTCTCAGCTCGAGTCTTGAGAGCCTGCGCCCGGCCACTGAAAGAGAAAAAGCGCAGTATGAAGATGGTGGCAGCTGCACTTCGCTTGTGACATCGTGGCTCGTGTCAGAAAAGAGTGCGGCAGCCACAAAGCTGCTTGCAGCACGAGTAAAATCGCGGGATACTGTGCGGGTTGCGATGCAGCAGCAGGTTACAGGCTTCGACAAGATGCGTCAACAGCAGCAAAGCAAAACCAAGAAGCAAAAGCGCGACGAAATTGCCGCTATCTTAGCCGAGAGTACGGCGCATCTCCGAGAACTGCTGAACTTTGCTGTGCTTTTGGTATTCTCTTTCCTCCGGAAGAACAGCAGCGCTGAGGACCAGGCAAACGAGATCAAAAAGAGTGCCAATGCTCCGGCCCAACTGATCGACCCGTTAGTGCCGTTGTTGATGCGCTGTGCTGGCGAATCGAAGAATGATCGAGCTGTTATTAACGCACTCAAGTGCCTAGGCTCGCTGCTTCCCCGACAAGACGAGCTACCAGCAATGCGAGTGGCACGCTCGCCTCTTCTTGATCGACTGTTTAAGATTCTGCAACAGGCAGGAGCTGCTACACGGAACGAGATGGTTCAGACGTGCTACCGCACGCTTACTGCACTCCTCCGACAACAGCAAGGCTTGGAGCTTGCAGTGGAGAACGGAACCGTACCCCGTGAGTCGGAGAATCTCCGACTCACAGAGCCTCAACTACGTGTGCTTCTAAGTTTCTTGCGTGCTGACCTGGACGAACAAGACCACCAGAATGCCACCTTTACTCTGCTACGGGCCATCGTGAACTCTCGCCTCATCGTGAGTGAAGTGTACGATGTGATGCTGCGTGTTGGCGAGCTGCTAGTTCAGAGTGATGCCCCTGGTGCGCGTCTAAACTGTGCAATGATCTACCAGACCTTCCTCCTCGAATATCCTCTTGGAAACAAACGGCTGTCCCGTCATCTCAAGTTCTTGGTTGATAACTTAAGTTACGGACATGCCACAGGGCGATCAGCTGTTCTTAAGGCGCTTCGTTCTCTTTTTTTGAAGCTCCCACAGGATCTGGTGAATGCTCGCGCCCAGTTTTTCTTTTTGCCACTTGTGTTACGGTTGGCTAACGATGATGCCACGGAATGCCGCAACCTCGCTCGAGAAGCTTTAAGTACTTTGGTGCGTCGTATGGGCAACAACGAACTGAACGAAAGCATTTTGCTGGTGAGCACATGGTGGACGCAAGCTTCAAACTCGGATGCCACGGATGCAGTAAAGCTACTGGGAACTGCGGCGCAGGTGACGACGCTTGTACTGGAGACCCGGCCTGAGTTTTTCGAGCGAAGTACACCCCAGGTCTTGCTCGCGGCTCGCACAGCGCTTGAGCGTCGTCAGCGAGAGCTTCAGACAGTAGAAGACAGTGACCAGGTGCGGTGGCAGCCGACGTACCATGTTTGTGTGGCACTCACCGCCTTCAGCGATCATCTTGCTGGTCCTTATGAACTGTGGCTGGAGGAAGATAAACCGACGACGAACTTTTTTGATGTCGTGGTGCTGCCGCTACTGCAATACCCCCACGCATGGGTTCGCCTTGGTGCAACCCGGCTACTGACGTCGTACTTGCGTCGCCGCCAAGCAACTACGCTTGCGTATGCGGCTCCGGTAAAGCGTCTGTCTGCTGAAGTCCTCGAGCGTTTGCACAACGGTGCAGTGTACCTGCAGCGCCCTGGGCGTCTGTTTGCTTGGGCTAGTGCATTCTGCAAGTTGCTGGAAGCGCCGGCATTGAATGACGAGCTGGCAAACGAAGTGCTCACAGCGCTGCCGTTCTTGTGTGAAGCACTTGAGACCACCGACATTCCACAGGATGTGACAGCTGCGGCGGCTGACGCCATAATCATTGACGAGTTGGATGCAATACCTACAGGTGAAGCTGAAGCTGAGACAGAAAATGAAGATACAGAAGATGGCGCTGCTGATGGAGACGGGAAGACTGACGAAAAGGATGACGAAGCGGAATTACAGCGACGTCAGGAGCAGGAGAAGGATGAAGACCGCGCGAAGGCGCGTTCGCCTATGGGCTGGCTGTTAACCCGACTGTCATATGTGGCTTGTGGCTCGAGCTGCAGTGACGAGGTGCGAACTGTGGTGTTCAAGCTGTTCGCTGCACTACTGCACTGCCACGACGCAGCTTTTGCTGAACTGTACGTTGTGCAAATTATCAACCCGCTGTATCGTGCGTCAAGCAAACTTGAAGAGCTCCAGGCCCGACAAGAACAAGCGTTGCTGCAGCAACAGCAGCGAAACCGTTACAAGAACCGGAAGAGAGGTCCTGCACCAGAGTCAATGGTGCCGCCTGAGAGCGCATTGCTGGCGCAAGAAGTGCTGCAGCTTTTGGAGCAGAAGCTCGGGGCTACGCCGTTTTTGGAGGCGTACTCATTCATGCAGAAGAAGATGGCGGCACGTCGTGCAGTACGCAAGCTCCAACGTCGAACCGAAGCCGTGTCTGACCCGCAGCGTGCTGCTCAGCGTCGGATGCAGAAAAACGAGCAGAAACGTCGGACGAAGCAGATGCGCAAGCGAAAATACGCTGTATTGAAGGGCTCAACGTCAGCAGCAGTGCGTCCGACAAAGGTACTTCGTCCTGGTGCCGAGTGTAGTTGACAAACTCGATAGCGATATTGTATCCCTTTGATATTAATTCCATACATGTTTGAATAACTACGTATTCTAGCTTTTTTATATTTAAACATTGGTTGCTGAAAACGTATAAGCGTATAAACGACAATACATGTTTTGTCAAACGTACCGTAGGCACTGTCAAATTAAATCATTAAGTAAAAACGTTAATAAAGTGGTTTACACAACATTGCTTGATTGGGCTCCACGCCTTCCCAAGCATAGCCATAATGGTCAAGAAGCGTACGCTGTCTCCACTGCCTATTTTTGACCAGAAAGCGTTACCCGAGTTTCTCCAGACACACAACTATAAAGAGATTCATACACTGACAATATGGCGTTATATGGTACAAAATCCAGAAGCTTTATTCACTGATATTCCAGGTATTCCCAAGACACTTCGGACGTTATTAAGTGAACACTTTGTACCCTTTACGACGTCCATAACGACAGAACAACGCTCATCCGATGGTACTGTGAAGCTTCTGATCAAGTTACAGGACGAGCATGAGATTGAAGCTGTAATTATGCGACACACGGGCCGTAATACGCTCTGTGTGAGCTCTCAAGTAGGCTGTCAAATGGCGTGTACATTCTGTGCCACAGGTACGCTCGGTATTATTGCTGATCTGTGCAGTGGAGAGATATTAGAGCAATTGGCACATGCCAATCGGATTGCACCTATTCGCAACGTGGTGTTCATGGGAATGGGTGAACCTCTGAACAATTACGATGCCGTCTTGGCAGCTATTCGAGCTATGACCAAAGTCTTTGGACTTGCTCCCAAGTATATTACACTATCTACAGTGGGTGTGATCCATCGGATCCGTCAATTGTCTCATGATGCACCACTTGTGCGTCTCGCACTGTCACTTCATGCTCCGACACAGGAGATGCGGAGTGAGATTGTACCTACTTCTACTGCCTACTCACTGGACAAACTCATGGCGGCTATTGATGATCATCTTGCGATGAAGTATGTGGATATTTGTGGTGTTTTTTTCTTTGTTTTCTTTGCTGTTATGGGCTCTATGTTGACGTAAGTTGCTGAGTTGCTTTGTTTTTTTCTGTAGGGAGGGACGTCTGGTGATGGTAGAGTATTGTATGCTAGCAGGTGTCAATGATTCGATCGAGACTGCACACTTACTTGGAAAGTTGCTGCAGAATCGATTGGTGCATGTAAATCTCATCCCATATAACACCACTGAAGTCGGTGCGCAATTTCAATCGCCATCTCCTGAGGACATTCGTGCTTTCCACGCTATCTTGCGCGAGCCGTACAACCTCAAGGCTACGATCCGTGAGAATCATGGTACAGATATTGATGGCGCATGTGGACAATTAGCTTTGAAGAACAAACCCGATAGTAATGCTGTGCAGCGTGACATCGAGGATTTCGGCCGTCGGAGAACCAAGAACTCGCGAAAGAACATGAAGGCTCTATCGGCGACGGACAGCACGAATGGAGATGTCTCTTCGTCCTTTCTTGTCTCGTGGCTTGCTTGTGCCTACGACTTCATTGGCGAGCATCAGCAGGCTATTGGGATTGCTTTGTTGGGAGCATCAATTGCTGTGTTTGCCACCGGGATCGCCCGTCGCGGACGTGTCCATGTAAATTAACCCAGCAGCCGCAGGAAATGCAAACACGGGACGTATTTCTACATCCACATAGAATCTAAAGAGCAGTTTAAGCGAAGCTATCTGCGATAATGGATTTTTTGGAGACTTGTAGCTGACTGGCAGCGCGAACACTGCTAACGCACTTACTTTTCCCTTGTTGTATTTACTTGTTTCTGCTTCTTGTTAGACTACAAATTACTACCTTCTCGTTATCTCTTGCATGCTTCAATGTGCTATATAATGTAAGACTTCGCCCCGCTGCAACTTCAGCAAGACACGTGCTTGTTTTACTTGAATAGAGTTCCGGCGGTGTTATGACTGAACAGTCTGCACTTTGCTGCGACTGTGGTTCGTGTGTCCAGAAGTGCTAAGCAAACAGCTCAGCGCTGACGGGGTAAACTTCGACGCACGGAAATACTTGAGAGCATAGTACGAGTCCTCGAACAGCGCCACAACTTTAGGAAAGGCAAAGCTGCTGGCACTTACGTTGCGATCGGGGTGAATCGGATCTTCAATTACCAACGCTGGCTTCCCGACGTGCAAGCGGTGGCTATCCGCTAGCCTGTAAATGTACCCTCCGTCGCGCACTGACAGTCCATTCTTGCGATAGTCAAAGATAATACCAAAGAACTCGAGAATCATCATTGTATGCTCACCAAGAGAAGCAGGAGGCTGATGGGACAACATCTTTGCCGATTCGTCGTCGCTGTCCGTTGAGGAAGAGTGGCTGCACGATGAACTCGAGTCTTCTGTGTCTGCGTTGCTACTGGACACGCTAATCGCGTCTAACAAATGAGCATCCTGTACCTGCTTCTTCGCTGTCACAACACTTTTTCGTCTTGCTGATGAGGACGACTCTGCAGGCGCAGACACTGCCGCAGCGTAGCTAGATGGTGGTCCAGTAGGCTTCTTTTCCTCAGAGACCTTTGCAATTCCAGCTGCTACTGCAGCATAAGTGAATCGTGGTTCAAAAGATGTATCTCGAGACAAATCCTCCAAAGGCTGCTGCTTCGCACGAGCCACTACAGCTGCATAAGTTGAGGTGAGACCTGGCGACGGGAAAGAAGCCGACTTTTTTGGCGAGCTTTTAGCATCTGCAACAGACGTCTCCGAATGCTGAGCTAAACTAGTCGGCACCTCGATCGCATTACATTCGCTGCCGACTTTACTATTACCATTCGACAAAGTCAACTCTGCCTGTATCCGTCCTGCCTTCAAAGCCTGGTTTTTCGATGCAAGCATAGATGGTATCGGTGGCAGTGATCCCGATGCATAGATAGAAGCTGCTTCAAAGCACAAGTCACCGTTCCGCCAGAGCTGCGAGAAATGAATCAGCATAAGCACGACCGAGTACGAACTGAGTCCTCCTGTGTACGCGTCGTTTAAGTCACGTTCACGTAAGAGTTGCTTGAACAAAATAGCCAATGGATACAATTCCGGCATCTTGTCTGCATAGCGCTTAATAAGATCGCGCGCAAGCAGTCCACTGTGTGTTGTAGCCGACTCGAATGTGATATCAATAGGCACCGATGTTCCAGCACTGACCAGTTTCAAAACTGGGACCTTGGCCGTTTCCAGCACAAGTAGCGATTCGACCCATTTTTTCTTTTCCAGTACCTTAGCTAGTTCTCGTAAATGTATTGCAGTTACTTTCGAATCGTTCACTTTCAAAACATCCAGAATCACAAGGTCGACATCACTACTTGGAAGCCAAATACCCGTCGAATAAGATCCAAAAGTCTCAACTTTTGATTGTGGCCACATTGACACCACACTTGCTCGTACATTTGCAATCATTTCTTCAATATGTACAGCCATTTTTGCCACTGTTTTCTTAGTATACATGGTATATTGTAAAATTTCTTCATGAAGTGCATCGGTTACTGCTCGATTTACCGATACTATCGGTTTTATCAACTCCATTTTCGTTTTCTTGAGTCCCCAACTAGGAATATTATTCGACACACAAAATAAAGAACTGGATGCATTTGTGGTCCCTGGGGCCAGCACGAGATTGTGATTGCGACTCTTGACATTGTCCTGATGCAGCAAATCCACAACTTCTTGAGTCTCGTTATGATTGTGTGTCTTTTTTTCTTCATTTGTTTTTTACTTTTTTTCACGGACAATTCAATGGGAACAATTCCAAAGGAGGACGAGTTTTTAAGCGATAATAAAGAGGTTTGAACGTCCGACGAAGCGATCTTTTGCGTTATGCAATCCTGTTTACGCTGTTCATTGTTTTGATTCTGTAATACATGGACCGTCCTTCCGTTGTTACTATGACGTCGAAGCTTCATGAATAAAGAGCTCAGTTTTTGTTATACAGTTCCTATATGTTTGTCACTCGCTGGCTTTTATATACTGTGGACACAATTTTACTGGAGGATAGGATTGTGTGTACCACATACTTATCCAAGCCATTTTCATCCGCTATGGCTCCATCATCCTTCAAAGACGTCATACATATTGCGCAGAGGACCAATGTGTGTCGTAATAAAAGTAGTATATTCAAGCCACAACCGCTTGTGTCATTCGTTAAGAGTGTGCTGCTATGCTTTAAGTAAAGAAGTAAGCATGGGGTAGTGTACAACCTTGCTTCAATAGAAAATGTTGTTATCTACAGGGATGACATCTTTCGCTGCATTAGAAACATGCAATTGCACTTGCAAAAGTTGAAAGCCTGTTTTCGACAGGAAAGTTGGCTTTGCAACGGATGTCCTTACGTGTAGATGGTCATTGTGCAGCTCTCGAAAGATATTTGTTGGTCAGAGATAGTAATTTGAGCGGTTACGTGGATCGCACTCGATGTGGTCACCTGCTCTACGATTAGTACGGTGTAACCTTGACGGATATACCGATACGCTGGTGCTCTGTTTGTTGAAAAAGGTCCGGTTATCTTGACAGGATAACTCGTATCGCTGTCGATCCCAGCGACTCCTTCGCTTTAGCGTAATATTCGTTGGAAGGTATGATAATGGACTTACAGCCGTTTAGTTCGGTTGCGGAAGTGGTGTGAAGCGAAAGGCATTGGGTCGCAGCTAAAGGGATCGGGTAAGGCGTCATTCATTACGGACTCCAGCAATACTCTCCAGAGTAGTGGCTGCCAGGAACAGAGCAGCATCCTTTTGAGTCAAGTGGATGAAGATAAGTAAGTGAAAAAGGTACGTCATGGTTGTAACCTATTGCCGTATTCCTTACAGTAATGCTCTTTAACCATATCCTTTTTCAGCACGACCCACAAGCGCAAGTGTATATCTCAAGGAGATGCAAAACGTGTTCATGAGCATCTCTTCGCTTGACGCTCATTAATTACACTGTAAAAAGAGACCGGGAAGAGAGGATGTTCGTGCCTTGCTGATGTCGTAAATCAGGCTCGTTAAACTGCTTACGCCATGCTTCAGTTTTCTTTCAGACCAGATCTTCCTTACATCAGTTGAAACAGTGCGAAAATCGACCACTAGTCTGTATCGATATCCACAACTGTCCTTGGCAATCAGAATAGAATTGCAGTATCGTTTTTCTAAACTTCGGCCCAGCATCACATAGGCGACGCAGAATCATTGTGCTGTGCCGACACCAGGCGTATATACATAGTCAACAACTTCCTCGCGCGGTGTGCTTGGCGGTCCCAACCTTTGTGCTTTACACTCACAATAGCCACGTATGGTTCGAGCTAATGAGTGGTTACACGAATCCATTAAGTATATGATACTCAATGGAGAGTTCTAAAAGGGTACGTGGTCCCTTAGACCTCCCACTTGGGTGAGACACATCAATGTGACCCACCCTCGTGAATGCGATATCCATTGACGGATTCACATTCGACGGGGATGACGCCCAGTTGGGACTAGGCGTCATGATGATGTTACAGACGGACGTCATCAGCGAGCTTATATATATTTGAGCTCGCACGTAGGAATACGCTTCTAAAAGACGCGTATTCGATCTTTACATTGAACTTATCAGTAGTTAAGGCAGCACTTAATGACTTTTGTATTAAATATAAGTCAGTCTTGAATTTGCTAACTACCTATCAATGCGCACGAGAAGCTTAATAAGATTCTGCGTGACGTAAGTGAAGTTCTTGGTTAGAAGCTCTTTGGGTGGTTCGCTTAGGTACCGTCAACGGTTGGTACAGCGCTTCGGCGCCGACCAACTCCACCACCGCACGCGGAGGTAAGACGGCCTAACCGCTTCCTCACGCTGCTTGAAGGTGTGTGCCCGCGTAGTACGTGGCAGCTTCTTGACGAAGCGCCCATCTACACTTAGTAGCACTAGTAGTCCTTTCCTCGACCTCTTCTCTTAGCGTGCGTGTGAGTACGGATGAACTTCTGTATGGAACGAAGGGCATTTTGCTCACCTTTCCCAACATCATAGGGAGGTGGCTAAGCATTTGGCGCAGGTACTTAGCAAAATGCCCTACCCAACCTCTTAGATTGTCATCCTGAGCAACATGTTGCTCAATTGGAACAATTCGAGGCGTTTGAGATCGGAAAGGCAGCAATGCGTCCGAGGCAAACAACCAAGCCACGGCTGAGTCCATCGGTAAGACTCAGGATGAGCTTTTGCGTGAGCAAGCTCGGAATGAGGCGCTCAACAGAATTGTTGAGACGCTCTCGGCCCGGTCTAATTAGCCAAGGGCACAGTCCATCTTGTTGTGGGATCCGCTGAATTTCCCTGGGACCAGATGGATTCTTTAAAATACGGGAGCTATAGTCTTCGTCATGTGAACGAGTACGGATATATTCGCGTCACCTCGAGTCCAAAAGTATAGATTAAAAATGAATACACATATATCGATAAAAAAATATGTGTTAAAAAAATATAATGAAATGTTAATTTATTATCAATTAAAAAAATTGAAGATTATGACTATAATATACAAAGCATTTTTTTATTGTCGACAAGCATAAGGAAGAGCAAATGCCACCCATTTCTATTGACGAGACATTAAAATCGACCGAATACTCCTTTAATGGTCAACTTGTCGCAATCCGTCATGATTATGCCTCGAGTTTTCGTTGTCATGTCCACTTTTGTCCAATCGACTAGTCAAATCGGTATCATTTATTTTCTTTAGCCAATCAATCTTCTTCATCGGGAGTTACAAAGTCTTTCACTTCAACACTTAATTCCATGTGTCCCAATCAAGGCCCATTTAATGACCCTCCGAAGTTTGATGGGACTGCCCCACATACGATAGTCCACTGAATTTTAGCAGTGTAGCAATGCAGTATAGCGCAGCTCAACGAAGACGACACCAGGCTTCTTGCGCTTATGTCAAGCGCGGATGCGTTTCCATCATGCACGATCTTTTAGTCAAAGATTAGTGCCATGTACCAGCCGCCAAACAATGAAGTTTTAATTCAGGCGCGTTTTTTGAAGCACGACAGGCGAAACGATCTCTGCAAAAATTTGTGCAGGAGATGCGTTCGCTGTCTGCTCCATTAATGTGTGTCCGATATCAAAATACAGTAAGGTGCCTACGTTCATGAATGGATTATGGCATGGCTCATTCTCAAGCCTTTTTCGAAAGGTGCCAAAGACAATGGACAAGGCAATTGAAATTTGCCATGGTTGTGGAGCATTACTACAACAGTGACTCGCGACAGCTTATTATAATCCGTCGTCAGAGAAGTCGGATGCACTCCAATGGAGTTAGGAAAAGCAGACGTTGTCTGCTACAAGCGCGGTCATATGATGTCTCGCTGCTATGCCAAACTTTCTGCTGGTGCTAAGGCATCCAGCAAAAGGCTTCCTACCCGAAGGGAGGAGCGAAAAACCACGAACGGGTTCAGCACCTCATAATATGGGTCGGAAAATGTGGGAGCGCAGTAGAAGCGTGATGCCCTACTGTCGCGGACTCTGAAGCTACCCTTATGTTCATAGTTATCGAACAAATTGGTAGCATAGTCCCTGAGGTACCGAACGGTCGGAACTCAACCCTTTTGGTCTATAGCGCTCAAGTACGAGGCTATGACCAAGTGATGAACCTCCTCGTTCATTCGGGTGCATCGCAATGTTTTGTGAACTCGCGGCGCCTCGTAAAGTCGGAGGGAGTTCAAGTTGAGCTCGCCTGGAGCTTTAGTGATTTTCTTGTATATAGAAGTTCTGCAAGAGGCTTATGTGAATGATGCTGTGTCCAAAATAGTCGAAGGTGCGACGACGGTATGTCAATCGGCACCAGGAACCCCACCTCGTTGAGCCTGGTGTAGTTGTAAATGTCCTGACAGAAAGTCAAATGAGACAAATTCCTACCCAGCTCGAGGAAACTGGTGTAGTGAATGGGACGATGACAAGTAGTCATGGTCCAATAATCTTGCACAGAGCCGAGACCTGTGGCAAATGATAGTGGTATGACAGAAAGCCAAACCCATATGAACCGACACAGAGCCATGAGCCTGGTGCACTTGAAAGGAGTGCGTACAATAGCAGCAACGACAACTTCTCCCAGGTCAAAGGTCGTGGTGACTGAACAACGAGAAACAGACGTATTCAGACGATCAAGGGCTCGTTGAAACAAGTGAAGTTCAAACAGTCTCGTACAAGAAGACGGACCTACGAACGAGTTTGTTTGAGGTCGTCGAAACAAGATGCGGAGGCACCTCAGTTGAGTGTTCAACTTGTCTTGGTATCTGCCGAGGAGATAGTAAGAAATTTCCTCTCGGGATAGCTGGAGATGACGTGGGATCTGTTACTGTCCGATCCTACCTAAAAATGCAATTTATGTACTACCTGGTGGTACTACTAAGACTTGTCCCAATTCATTGGGTCATTTACGGTGGTCGAAGAGGTTGGTGACCTTAATTATAGGT